ACACATGTACAGTCATACCTCAGGTTACAGACGCTTCAGGTTGCATTTTTTAGGGTTACGGACCTGCCAAAACCTGGAAGTACTGGAACGGGTTACTTCCGGGTTTCGGCGGTCACACATGTGCAGAAGCGCTAAATCGCGCTTTGCGCATGTGCAGAAGCGCCGAATCGCAACCCGAGCATGCGCAGATGCGCCGCTGCAAGTTGGGAATGCTGCGGGTTGCGAACGTGCATCCCACACGGATCACGTTTGCAACCCAAGCGTTCACTGTACCTGAAAATTCCACGTCCCTTCCAGGAGCTGTCGACTACGTGACAGAGCCAGCAAAGCTTTGCATTTGGGCTCCTTATTTGGAAGAGTCCTTGCTTCAGTACTTGTTTACTACAAGAACTTAAAGCATTTGTAAACTGCCAAAATAGATTTTACGAGGCAAGCTGTTTTGACCCTGGAGCCTCCCAGGCTGCAAGACTTTAATACATTCATTTCCCCCAAATGCGCTCTTTGTGGCAGGCTTAGAACAAGGTATATGCACATCTTCCCAGCATAAAATACTGGAGCTGGCTCTCAACCAAAGAAAAAGGCTCCGATGGGGCTGCAGGACATTTGTGCAATTCCAAACAGACAATTTATGGCATCCAGCATGCATAGGTCTTAATTTAAACCAAGGCTCAGATCTATAACCTAGGGGTTAATGTCAAGCAACAGGCAGTTCTGGGGAACAGGTGAAATAATATTATTGCCACCACCTTTCTGGTGTTTTCTTCCTGCTTGTCTCTTTCTCTGACCCCCACCTGCACTATGCATTTAAAGCAGTATTATACTGTTTTAAACAGACATGGCTTCCCCCAAAGAATCCTGGGAACTGTCGTGTGTTAAGCATGCTGAGAGTTGCTAGGAGACAACAGGTCACCTGGGTCTCATCTCTGCCCATTCCTTTGCTAATGCAACAGAAACACTTCCTAGACTCCTCTTTGCTATCCCTAAGAAAAATATGTGCACCACGAGAGGTCTTTGGCCACACTAAATCTGCTATAGAGGCAAGTTCCGGACTCAGATCAATGGGTTCGAACTGCAAAGAAAAGGATTTAGACCAGGCTTCCTCAACCTCGGCCCTCCAGATGTTTTTGGCCTACAACTCCCATGATCCCTAGCTAGCAGGACCAGTGGTCAGGGATGATGGGAATTGTAGTCTCAAAAACATCTGGAGGGCTGAGGTTGAGGAACCCTGGTTTAGACTGAACATTGGGAAGAATTTCCTAGTGGTACCAGCCATATCACAGTGGGATGGTTTCCCCAGGATGGCGATAGGGTTTCCGTCTTCATATCCATTTAAGCAGGAACAGGATAGCTTTTGAAGATGCTTTTGGAGCACATTTTCTGCATCAGCAAGGGGCCCCATGTCCACTATACAGGTGTTTCCCCCAAAACACACACACACACACACACACACACACACACACACTTAACCGGGGGTTATGTTCCAGGGCCCTGTGTGAAATCGTGTAAAGTGGGGAACGCCCTCTAAAAAGCTTCTTAGGTAAAGGTAAAGGGACCCCTGACCATTAGGTCCAGTTGTGGCCGACTCTGGGGTTGCAGCGCTCATCTCGCTTTATTGGCCAAGGGAGCCAGCGTACAGCTTCCGGGTCATGTGGTCAGCATGACTAAGCCGCTTCTGGTGAACCAGAGCAGCGCACGGAAATGCCATTTATCTTCCCGCCGGAGCGGTACCTATTTATCTACTTGCACTTTGACGTGCTTTCAAACTGCTAGGTTGGCAGGAGCAGGGACCGAGCAACAGGAGCTCACCCTGTCGCGGGGATTCGAACCGCCGACCTTCCGACTGGCAGGTCCTAGGCTCAGTGGTTTAACCCACAGCGCCACCCGCATCCCTTAAAAAAAAAAAAGCTTCTTAAAAGCCTCTAAATGCCTATTCCCCCCTGCTCTCCAGCTCTTGCTCCTGCTCTCTTTCTGAACAACTCTCTCTTCAACTAGAGTTGAAGCCTTGAGGCCAGCTAGAAGCTGGAGGACATGTGGGAATGCAGCTGCTGCTGCTGTGCTACCGTGCGCACCAGCTGTTAGGTGGGGCAGCTGAGCAGCCGAAGCAAGGTACTGCTACACCTCAGATCTCTTTGGGGCTTCCTTTATCCTCACTGACATCCTCTTCAGGCCCCAGGGATGGTCTCCTTGCAAGCCACAAGGACTCTCCAGCTCTCTCCTACCATTTCCTGGTATGATTCTATTCTATTCTATTCTATTCTCTATTTTTATTTCTTTATTTCCCAGTGCCACATGTATGCACGGTTGTGCACAGGTAGAACACACACGGGGAGAGGATGCCTGCACATTTAAAGCAGTATTGTACCAAGAGGGAGGAAGAGTGGGTTCTTTCCATCCATCCATCCCCCAATTTTTGACCACAGCCAAGCATATATATTTGTAAAAAATAAGCAGCCAATAATAAATGACATTCTTGATATATCACCACTGCTTGAGTTGAACCCAGGAGGGAGACACGAAGGCTATATTTAAATATGCTGATGAAATCTAATCTTGTTTGGGGCTCTGCAAGATTAAATCATAGCCATGACACACACTCCAAAGAGCTGTACCTACACTCTGTGCACTAGGGGAAGTGCAACAGCTGGAAGAACTGCAGGATCTCAAAACAGATATAAAATGAGCTTGGTGGCAAAAAAAAGTCCCTCTCCAATGGCTGGAAAGTAGACATCTTTCCCTGTGGGGTTCTTCATTAAGGCGTTGCTATCTCTGGAATCATAGATTTGCAGGGCTGGGATCTCTGAGTCATCTAGAACAACACAGTTTATCTCACTAGATACAACTATTTCCCCATTCCACTTAAATTCATGGGGGATGAAAAACCTTCCAGTTTATTCTTATTGTGGGTGGTAGGCAACAGCAGTATGCACAGGCCCCAGGATTTTATATCTGGTGTTGTTTTTTTAATGATCTATTTTCATTGCACCAGTGAGCAGGTATTGGGAGGTGGAAGCTGTTTGCTCCAGTGAGGAGTAGGAATGTCTGGCTCATCAGGAGATGTTCCCAGAGATCCTGGTTCAGGAGCCTTGAGTTCTAGTCCCCATTCTCATGATCCAGCTCAATCTCACTTCTCTGCTAGAAATACAGGTGAGCCACACTTAGCTGGCTCCTCTCCCTTGGTAACTGGGTCCAAGCTCCTGCTCAGGACTGCAACCATGACAGACCCAGCCCCACTCTGTCGCCCTCTGTGCAGAGTAGTCCCACTGAAGTTAATGGACCTAAGTTAATCACATCCACTAATTTCAATGGGTTTCCTCTGCGTTGGACTAAGATTGGATACACCCCATTGAAACATCATATAATAAAGCCCTGAACAAATGCCCCCCTCTCCACTGGATCCAATTAATTCCCTCAAAACACTTGGTAAAATGGAAATGTTTTCAGTGTTGCAATATTGACATTGTAGGGACCTGTCTGGATTTGATAGGAAGAGCATTCTAAGGTACTGAGACAACTCTGCTAAAAGCTTTAGCTCGCATAGAAATGAAACAAATATAAGATCCCTGTGGGACACTTAGGTGGAATCTACACACATATTAAAAAAACATGCTGTGAAAATGCTTTTCTAAAAAGTTTTGAAAAACACATTGAATTTGCTATAGCTCACTTTCGCCATCTAGTGTCACATTTGTATATTGCACTTTAAGGTAAAGGTACCCCTGCCCGTACAGGCCAGTCATGTCCAACTCTAGGGTTGTGCGCCCATCTCACTTAAGAGGCCGGGCGCCAGCGCTGTCTGGAGACACTTCCGGGTCACGTGGCCAGCGTGACGAAGCTGCTCTGGCGAGCCAGCACCAGTGCAGCACACGGAAACGCCGTTTACCTTCCCGCTATAAAGCAGTACCTATTTATCTACTTGCACTTGGGGGTGCTTTCGAACTGCTAGGTGGGCAGGAGCTGGGACCGAAAGACGGGAGCTCACCCCGCCGCGGGGATTCGAACCGCCGACCATGCAATCGGCAAGTCCTAGGCACTGAGGTTTTACCCACAGCGCCACCCGCGTCCCGATATTGCACTTTACAACGCACTTAAAAGTTTTATTTGCATCTGTGTAGCTGAGTCCTTAGGCTGGGGACTGGTGATGGATGGAGGTGGTGGCATTTTGAACAGTTGAGTCAGGCACTCTCAAAAGCTTGACCATTATTTGATGAAAGGTCAGGATATTTCGGTATCACTAACTGCCTGTTGTTGATTAGTGGCTGACAACAAGCTCTGCTTTGCACGTCCTGATGTACTGACGGCACTGCACAGGAGTAGGCGTTGCAACCCTTTAAGTGTGGGTTTCCCTGGCAATTACCCAGGATGAACAACAGAGCGTTTATCTGGGGAACAATTAAAACAAATCCACAGTAAACTGAAGTCTGAGGTGAATGCAATTAGAACAAGCAAAAAACTCTTCCACTTAGATAATCTGTTCTTCCTTCTCCCTCTTTCAGCCATCAACCAAGAGAATTCTCACCACTGTTCAGGAACTGCTGCCCCCCTTGGTGAGATGCGTAACTGCACCCACTGAGTGAAGAAACGCCTTTCAGGAATCTTCTGCGGGATGTAGATTGGCTTCATCTGCCCAGGTTGGCCATTGGCTGCTGAGCAGGAAGGAGGATAAGAGGATTTGCTGTCTCAGTGCTGCTCGAGTTGCAAGGACAACCTGAGATCTAGTCCGGCTCTTTGGTCTTGAATCATCTGCTGATCTTGAATGCTCATGATATGGGCCCTGAGTCCTGACATGTTCTACTCTCCTGCTATCCAGTTTGCCTTCTGATCCTGATTGAGCCATGACCCTGGAATCAGATTCTCCTTCAAGGGGCGAAGTGCATTCAGGACCAGTCCCAGAAGTACATCTGCAAGATGAGTATCAAACCTAGTGCCTATACTAGTGAGAAGGGCAGTGGGCTTCAAAAATGTTCCTCACCCCTGGCCTATGATGATTGATTGATTGAATGGGAGATGGGTCATAGCTCACTGGTAGAGCATCTCCTTTGCATGCAGATGATCTCAGGTCCAATGCCTGGCATCTCAAGGTTGGGCTGGGAAAGAGCCCTGCCTGAAACCCTGGAGAGCCGCTGCCAGCCAGTATGGACAATACTGGATAGACCAATGGTCTCATTCAGTATAAGGTAACTTCCTGTGTTCCTTTGCCCTTGACTTAGAGGACTCCATCACAGAAGCCCCAGTCCAAGCATTATCTCCCCCATGCCTTTAGAGTAAAATACAGCTGTTGTGGGTGGAGCCCCTTTAACTGAAGTTGGAGCTTTTCATTCAGAAAAAGCTGCTGCTCCTTTATTAAGCCCAGTCTAAGGTTGACTGATGAAGCATCATTTCGGTGCTGCTCTTTTATAGGATCTGGCCTGAGCCCTGTCCAATTTTTGCATCATAAAAGACATAACAGGTTCAAACTCCCTGCTCCTGACTTTAGCCGGTGGCCCAACTCTCTGGCCCCAGTGGCCCAACTTGCCATCTCCTGCTTCTCTAGATACCCCTTCCCATTTGCTTTAACATCCCATGCTCCCAGGTTACCTTCTCCCCTCCAAACAGAACCCCCCCCCAACATGGTTCATTGCACTGCCTTCTGGGGGTGGCAATCCAGCTGTTTTTCCGAGCTCTTCAATTCTGTGCAGAGAAAGGAAACTTTTTCAACTTCTGCTCCAGAATAGATGCTTGCCATTTTCTGCGCTGTGCCAAATCTCATCTAGCAATGTTTGCTTTCCAACTGTGGAAATGCTGCAGGACACATCTGTGGTATTGATCAATGGAAGCAGAATGCTACAGTAATTTGCCAGAACAGTGCTGGCTATATTCTTTTCTCTTTCCCCCTCCTCCCTTCCAAATATAGGACTAGCATGACACTTTTTATTATAGGCAACATTGTTTGCTCTCCAAATTACCCAGAAGATTTGACTTGTCTTGCATTGGTAATCTAGTCCTGCCTGTGAAGTTGCCAGGAATTTTAAGATGTGGGGAGCTGGGTGGTGTGTGTGTATGTGTGTGTGTGTGTGTGTGTGTGTAGTCACTAACAGCAAATCCAGAGAGCTGTTATGTTTGTGGGGAGCTGAGGTTGGGGTGTATGCAGTTGTGGCAATACAGGGCAGAGAATCTCAGGCATGGGGGGGTCAAATGACTATGCATTCTGAGAACATGTGGATGGCTTGTGAGAACAGGATTAATGCTACTGAGGGCGAATGAAGGTATAGTTCAGAGTGCAGGCAGTGCTTCCTGAATTGTCACTGCACTCCCTCTGAACTAGTTTTTACTCTTAGTGATGTCACCATGAACCAAATCCGATTGGCTTTTACCATCAGAAGAACTTCCTGGTGGTAAGAGCTGTTCAACAGCGAGACTTCCGGGGTGGCGCCACCGGCAATGGCGGACTCCCTCTGAACTGGAGGGACTAGCTCCGCGGAAAACGGGTCTTCTCCGCTACGGCGAAGCGGGGACCCACTTAAAAATCACAGGCGGATGAAGCCTGTGACCATGGGACTCGGCGGGCACCTTTAGCGCCCCCCCCCAACCCGCTAAGGAACCCACTAACGGGCTCCGAAGTGAAGAGGGGGAAGTGGCGCGGTGCTGTGAGTCAACTGCTATTTCCTTGGAGCGAAGCCGCATAGCTGTTGCCGGAGAGCGCTGCCTTTTTCCTGGGACAATTTGGACTTTAAAATAAGCACCTGTGAGTACTTAGACTTTGAACAATTGGACATCAAATAAGGACTTGCGAGTAGAAAAGAATCAGACTTTAAAAATTTACTTGAATTTGGTACGGAACGGGAAGGTCTAAACAGGAAGTCATCCTTCCGTTCTTTTGTAAACAGAATAAAGCAAAGGCAACTTAAACTAGAGCTCAGAAAATCGCTTTTAAAAGATTGGATTTCACCATTTAAAATTGTGGAACCCCCCTTCGACACCAGGAGAAGGGGGGGATCTTTTTGGACTGTTTAAAGTGACTCTAAAGTGAAGTAACTTTCCTTCGTCCTGATCCTGGAGCGGGCTGTCAGGACTGACATGTGAAGTTCATTAACCAAAGACAAGTGTTTTTGACAGATGGCTAAAAGAAGAGAAACCTAGTGATTCCACTGTTCCCTTTCGCATTTTAAAGGATTATATACGGACAAAGTATCTTTAAAAAGGAAACTTTGTTGCAAGAATAAATAGAAGTCTTCCCCCTAGGGGGAGTCTGTGAAATTGTAACTGTGAAACTGTAACTAACTCCAGGAGTCGACAGCTGTTACAGATTACAACCGTGGGAACAAGTATCTGACCTTGTGGGACAATGTATTCAGAAGCCTTGTTGTATGCTCTCTATAAAACAAACGATCTACTGGAACAATTACACGAGAAGGTGAATTGGATGGTGACTTCGACTAGAAATTTTGAACAGGCAGTGGGAAACTTTGAACAGACAGTGGGAAAATATGTGGAGCCCACTCAGGATTTAAATCAGGAGTGTGTTTTGACAGAACAGGCCCAACAGGAATATGATTTTTTGGATTTGACAAATGAACTTGGAAAAAGCCATATCTGGAAAGGAAAAGTTTGGCTTGGTTTGGAAATGGGGAGCTGGATTGACCCCCCCCCCCCTATGCTGGGATGTTTGGACTTTTCAAATATGACAACGGGCCATGAGATGTTTGGGACTGTGGGGGCTCTCAATTTTGGAGAGACTTTGAAACATGCTTTTAAATACTACATGGAATTCATTGTTGAACATGGAAAAGGGGCTGATCTGTTGAGAAGGATTAAAAACATTGTCAAGCTGGAGTTACCACGAGCAAGAGACAAGGGAAAATACAGTTACAAATATGAAGAAGAGGCGCGGAAGGGTCATGGAAGAGACTTGAGGGCCTCGGACATAAGGTTGCCAGGTTAATGGGCTAGATTGACGGGAATAAGGACTGATAAAACCCGGAACCAGGAGGAAGGGACGCTGGATGAAGATTGGATCTGTTTATACCTCTTCTTTCTACTATTAGAACTGTTTTATAAAATTGATGAATGATAGGAAAATGTTGGAATGAACATACTTGGCTTTAGCAAAGATGTTTAAAGAATTATGAAAGAATATTATGATTATGAGAAGTTGGTAAGGATAAGATTTAAGTTTTGAGTGTTAAGGTTTATTTTATTATAGAAAGATAAGGTCAAGGATTTGCTGGGATAATTAATAACTAGGATACAAAGAAAGGGAGGAGGAGGAGGTCTAAGAAAGAAGGTAATGACAGTTAAGGATTTGAAAATAATGAATTTGTTTTTAAATGTTTTTAAAGTTCTGTGATTTTTGCATTCTTCTTTTTTTCTTTTTTCCTGTCATTTTTTTCTCATTTGGAATTTTTTCTTATAACTATTTTTATTCTTTGTATTCTCTTCTGCTTCTATTTCATTTTTTTTAAATTTTTTGTAACATTCTGAAAATCTCAATAAATATCTTTAAAAAAAAAAAAAGAGCTGTTCAACAGCAGAATGCACTAGCTCAGAAGGTGGTGGGCTGCATTGAAGGTTTTGAAGCAGAGTTTGGATGGTCCTCTGTCAGGGATTCTTTAGCTGTGATTCCTGCATTCCAGGGGGTTGGACTGAATGGTGTTCCTTTCAACTGTACAATTAACCCCAGTGTATGAGGCCTCTGTGGTGCTACAGCCCAGACGGCAGCAGATTGACCATCTCACTGGGAACTAGACCACATAGCAAACTCATCTCCCTGTTAATTTCAGCAAGTTCTTGACATGCCAGCTATGGCTGAATGCTGATGAGTTCACCAGGACTTTCAGGGGGGAGAAATCAGGAACTTCATCTCACAAAGCACTGAGATTGATGCTGCCCTTAGCATTTGTTCTCCTTTGTCTGATAAATGTATGGAGAGCTAAAGGCAACAGATCCCGGTTCATCCCTCAGCAAAGTGCAAGATGCTTAAGGTAGCTGCTCTGTGAAGGTCAAAACTCTTGAATTGACTACTTCAGTCAGTGTGTTAAAGAGAATTTAGTGTTATTGAAATCAACAGGACTTTTAAAAAATGCTAAGAAGGGGGCAATCCAAAATACAGAGTTGGACAGTACGCTTATTATGTCCAACCAAACCGTCATCCCCCCAAAAATATTATTTGCTATTTTGTGACACTTTTGTTGGCTCTAATCAGTGGTGTCTGGCACCTGTTGGGATGGATAGGACAGAAGTTAGGAAGACCAACAGTATGCGGAGCCAGAGCCAATGATATACAGAGCCAACTAAGTCTCCCTCTTGAGTTCTACAAAGATGACACTGAGTCTAAGGAGAAGGAAGCTGACAGCCAGTGCAATCCTCTGAATTGGTTGTAAGTAAGAAGGTAGGCAGAAGGGACGCAGGTGGCACTGTGGGTTAAACCACAGAGCCTAGGACTTGCTGATCAGAAGGTCAGCGGTTCGAATCCCCGCGATGGGGTGAGCTCCTGTTGCTCGGTCCCTGCTCCTGCCAACCTAGCAGTTCGAAAGCACGTCAAAGTGCAAGTAGATAAATAGGTACTGCTCTGGCGGGAAGGTAAACGGCATTTCCGTGCGCTGCTCTGGTTCACCCGAAGTGGCTTAGTCATGCTGGCCACATGAGCTGGAAGCTGTATGCTGGCTCCCTCAGCCAATAAAGCGAGATGAGCGCCACAACCTCAGGGTCGGCCACGACTGGATCTAATGGTCAGGGGTCCCTTTACCTTTACCTTTAAGAAGGTAGGCAGGTGGGTGGAGTGGTGGCCGAGGTTGGTGGACAGCGCCATCTTTACCCGGGGGTGCAAGAGGTGCGGGGCACCCGGGCGCCAGGTTCTGGGGGGCACCGGGTGCCCGCCACTGAAGCTGCCTAAGCTCTTAACTATCTACCTGTTATGAAATAATAAATAATTTTGATCAAGCTAGGAAAACAAAATACATATATACCTAGATATTGCCGAAATGTATACCTGCTGTTTCCCTAAAGAACTTTGTGCACTCATTTACCAAAGACGCACCGCGCCAGCGGCAGCGCTGGTCATTCACAACGGCCATGCTTGTCAGACTCAACGACGGCGCTTGT